GGTGAGGATGCAATACTCTGCTGACATCAGAAAGACAAACAGAAAGGTCTGGGCAACACATCCAGCGTAGGAGATGTGCCTGGTGTCCCAGAGGGCATCGGCCATGGCTTTGGGGAGAGCGGTGGAGATGCAGCCCAGGTCGAGGAGGGCGAGGTTGAGCAGGAAGAAGTACATGGGGGTGTGCAGGCGGTGGTGGCAGGCTACGGCTGTGCTGATGAGGCCGTTGCCCAGGAGGGCAGCCAGGTAGATGCCCAGCAAGAGCCAGAAGTGCAGGAGCTGCAGCTGCCGCGTGTCTGCCAGCGCCAGGAGGAGGAACTGGCTGATGGAGCTGCTGTTGGGCATCTGCAGTTCCTGCTGGGCCTGGAGTCCTGTGCAGAGTGCAGGAGATAATGACGAGTCAAGAGCTTTTTCAGAGACACTCCACCCCTATACTATAACAGTGTTTCTTTCTCTTAGGACAACGTTCATTTAACTCCATAACTTGAATTTACACGAGCTTCACCATCCCTTGAGAAGTGGAAGATGAAGGAGCTCTTGCTTTCCTCTCATTGCCTAATCATATCCCAGCCTCCTGGATACTTTCTTCCTATGACATATTTCCATTCATGTATCTTTCGTCTGTCTGCACTCAGAGTGCCCATTCCTACCTCTGTGCACTTGAATTTCTACTAGAGAAAGCTGCCTGTTTGCTGGACAAGTGCATTATTCATGTCTGCAGAGAAGCATGGCAATTTCAGCTGGTGCAATCCTTTGGGAGAAGAGGGGCTGAAAGCACATGAGGAGTTTGTGCGTGTAACTGCAGGCTGAGAAACGTCCAGTTCAGGACTCTTATAGCTGCGTTCATATTTCACATCTCCTTTCAGATCTCTGCCTCCAACTCATTCTCCTTCCCTAAGGACAGGTATGGGAAAATCCCTGCCTTGTCTCTCCTCTTGCAAAGTGCCCTTGGAGACACTCTGGCAGCGCTGAAGCTGTGATCCCCATGCCCCCAGCAGCAGAAGGCTCCTGCCCTGCCCTGCCCTGCCCTGCCCTGCCCTGCCCTGCCCTGCCCTGCCCTGCCGAGGGGCTCCTTCCCCCCACACATCTCCCCGCAGCGCCCTGGGCAGCTCCCCAGGCAGGCTGAGCACCGAGCCTGGCAGGCGGCAGAGTCACAGCCTGCAGTGAGACTGACCTTGTCAGAGGCTGCCAGCGATGCTCCTCCAGTGAGCTCACAGCCTGCTCACACCATACACATCCTACAAGCTCTCTCTCCTTGCTCTGCTCTCCTCCTGTCACCTGCAGGCTGTGCTGTGCACAAGAGCTGCTCCTGGGCACAGCCGTCTCTCTGCAGCACTGCCCACTTTTATGAGCTCCCTGTGTCCCAGCAGCCCGGCCCAGCTCTCCAGCAGAAGATGGCATTTTCTCTTCCTCACTGCTCTCCCTGGGGATGTCCTCAGGTCTCTGCATTGGCAGCTCCTGATAGACAACAGGGTCATCTCTGCACAGCGTACTTTGAAGTCAGATGAATTCATCACCAGTGCACAGACTGATTCCTGCAGCATTGTTTGTCCTAGCAGACTGTGTGTGCCGAGCAAAGCTGCAAACGCCCCATCTGGTGCCATGGTTTGACCATCCTTGTTCTTGGCACTCCACATCGTAACATCATGTAAAGCACAGGGAATTAAGGAGTCAATACTGCAGGTCTGTGGACGGACAACTTTCTGGATGCCTGGCTCTCAGCAGAGAAGAACTGCAGACCCAGAGGACTCTGAGTTCAGAGGGGAAGATCAGCCATGGCAGGAAGTCCCAGGATCTCTCCCTTGCTCGCTGCCCTGCAGTGCGTGGCTTCGCTCCCCAGCCGTGCGCCTGCAGTTCAAAGCAAGGCTTTTGCTTTCAGACGCTCGCTCTCTCATTTGATATCATTTATTACCCTAACTTTCAATTTTAGTTTATAATATTGCGTTATCTTGCATTCCCATATCATGTTTAGTAAAATTACATTTCCTCCTAAGATCCTTGCTGCTGATTTATTCTTGTTGTTGTTATTATTATCGTTCATATTATCATTCATATCTTTATTTTTGGCCAGAAGGACTGCAGGCCTGCTGTCCTCTGTCACGGGCACAGATAGTTCTAGATGGCTCCGAGACAAGGCAGCACACTCAGTAATAGAAAACAAGCCATGTTTAAGGGGAAAAACAGGGATTTCTAGGAAAATAAGCGATATTTCAGAGGAAAAACAGGGATTTCTGGCAGAAAGAGACATATTGAAAGGGAAAGACCACAGATTTAATGGGAAACATCGATTTCTAGCAGAAAAAGCCAGATTTAAGGGGAAATGCCCCATATTTAATGGGTAAAAGAAGGATTTCTAGCAGAAAAAGCCATATTTAAGGAGAAAAACAGGGATTTCTATGAAAAAAAAACCCAATTTCAGGTGAAAAACCCCATATTTAAGGGAAAAACAGGGATTTCTGGCAGAAAAAAGCCAGATTTAAGGGGAAAAACAGGGATTTCTGTG